ATTGCCTCTTTTCTATCAGTTCAGGATGAATATTACCGGTTCACGCTTTTTCAGAACGAGGGAGGATCATTTTCCGACCTTATAATGAAATGACTCTGTGCTTATTTTTAAAGCCTGATTTTAAAAATTGGATAGTATGAATAACAATAAGGAGTGAGCTACTTTTTATGGGCACCCTGTAGTTTTATAGTTCTTATTCTAAACTTAACATTTTATATTCCTTTGGAAGAAACTACAAGCCACTGTCTGTACAGACAACACAGTGGTTTGGGGTGGCGCCCCCACAGCCTCGAAGGTGACCTGCAAGAGTCTCAGCCATTCTCCTCTTCCTCCCGAGTTACTTTGAAATGGTCCTTTTTTAAATTTTTTTATTTTGTACATTTTGGTTACAGTGTCGGTGGTAGAATATACTATAATATGGATCATCTCTACTTCTGTATTTATTTATTTATTTATTACTAGACCACAGTCAACCACAGTCTTCTTTTTCCCTTCCACCTCTCTTTGCCTGTAGGATGTACTGTATGTAGTCATGCACTTTGTATTAATATATTAGAAATCTACAAATCTGTTTTGTACTTTTTATACTGTTGAATACTTATACTCAAAACTTTTACTAGGTTATTGAATAAATTTAGTCTTATTAGAAAATCAAAGAGGCTGTTTTGTGGCTTTGTTTGTAGAGTTGCTATGCAATAAGACATGAGTTATGTTAGTTCCAAGTAGACAGTCTGGTGATTTGACGTTTTTATACCCTACAGTGTGGTCACCCCATTAATTCTAATCATCTGTTACTGCAGACTTGACACAACGTTATTGACTATATTGCCCTCACCTTTTCCACCCATCTCCCCACTCTCTCCCCTCTGGTAGCCATCCTTGTGGTCTCTATTTCTGAGGGTTGCCGGTTAGAATCCTGGTCAGGGCACATGCCCAGATTTCAGAACTTATATTACCCACACTTCTATAACTTAATTGTTGCTTTGTTTGTGTGTTTGGTTGATTTATTTTAGATTACACATGTAAGTAAGACCATATGGTGTTTGTCTTTTCTCTGACTTGCCTCACTTAGCATAATTCCCTCTAGGTCCATTTATGTTGTTGCACATGGCAAGATTTTTAAAAAATCTATATTTTTATTGATTTCAGAGAGGAAGGGAGAGAGAGAGAAACATCAATGATGAGAGAGAATCACTGATCAGCTGCCTCCTACACGCCCCCTACCGGCGATCAAGCCCACTACCAGGCATGTGCCCTTGAGCGGAATCGAACCCGGGACCCTTCAGTCTGCAGGTCGAAGCTCTATCCACTGAGCCAAACCAGCTAGGGCGCATATGGCAAGATTTAACCCTTTTTTATTGCTGTGTGATATTGCACTTCTTTATCCATCCCTCCACTGTTCTAATGTTTTTGATGTGACTTTATTGTCTAAGGGTATAGTGGGAGGTATCGTTGAGACTAGAGAAACTATAAAATTGGATACAGGGAAAGGTGGATGTTGGCATTGGGTTCTCTAGTTCCTGGCCCTGGCCCTTTTTAGCCATTTGAGTCACTGAATTCTGAGGGATCCAAATAGGTGCATCCCATATCAAAGTTGTGAAAACATCGTCTATGACCTGGGAAAAGAAGATCCTATGGGCCAAACTTTTTATACTCCAGTCAGGGTTTAAATTTGCTTTAGGATAGTCAGGTGGTTTTGCCAGCTATGGATCTAGTTACTATGAAAGAGTAAGTTAACCTAGGGTAGTAGGAAAATGACTTACCTATATTATCTACTGCTGTGTAATAAATTACCACACGTGCAGTGGTTTGAAGGACATCGATCTCAGTTTCTGTCCAGGCACAGTGTAGCTGGATCCTTTTCTTGGAATCTCACAAGGCTGCAACAAGGTGTCAGCTGGGTTGCACTCCAATTAGGTGACTTAGGAATCGTCCACTTCCACACTCACTTGACACCTGCCATCTCCCAACATGGCCATTTTCTGCATGGAGCTAGCAGGTCCCCAGAGCTAGTCTGCTAGGGAGACCGTCTTCTGGGGTGCAGACCACACTCAAGTGGAGGGAACTATGCATGAACACCGAGAGGGGATGTGGACATCACAAGGAACACCTTAGAGCTGTGTCCCCCTCATCACCTCATTTTTTTAAACTGAATTACTTGAAATATAAGTGCTTTGTGTAGCAAGTAAAAAGAACGCCCCTATTATCAAACACCTACTATGGGCAGGCAAGTTTAAACATTGTTTAAATAACCTTGCAAAGTAAAACAAAACAGCCTGTTTGCAGGTGAGTGGAGTGCAAGGAGGTCATGCAACTGAAATAAAGTCCGCTTTCCCAAAGTTCTTGCTCCAAACTGAACCCTGTCCCCGGGGTAGCTGTGGTGGGCGCCGTCTTACCTGCCCTTGGGGGTGGTTACCTGGGTCTCTGCCGAAGGTTGACAATGAGAGGCAAGCTTTACCCTTGCCCAGAAGTTGGCCTTGACTCTAAATCAGTTAATCAAATTTTGTTTCTTAATTTTGATGTTGAAAGTACCCATTATAGACTGTCTGTGGAGGAAATAGTCTCCAGGGGGCTTAGTCTAAAAGTAAGTGGAGGTAGCCAGACTGAGTGCTAGCTCTGCAGTGAGGAGGGGAAGGCCCCTGGGAGCCGCTCGATTCAGAGTCCCTAGGACAGTTTCCTGACGCTTCACATCTCTCATTGTGCCCCGCAACCATCCCGTGTGATGTTCCGTGCATGGGAAGGGAGGAGAAAGCCAGATTGGACCAAAGATAGATAATTTTACAGGCTCATGTTCTCAAAGACAGGACAGGATCTAAGGGTTCTAACAGTTTCTCGAGGGGTGGAGTTTGGTTACGCATTGTGTTGGAGAGAATGCCTCAGGTTTCAAATGTCTTGCATCCTGGTTAGAAACTGCGTATTGCATGTGGCATAGGGGGGTCTTGGACATACTTAGTTGCAGGCTTCGGTGTAAAAGAGCTCAATCTTTCCGTTTAGAGAGACAACAGATGTTGGCAAAGCCTGCCTGTGGTCTCCGTGTCTGAAAGGGAGGGGGTGTAATGGACTGTTTTAGAACTACATTCTCCACACTGCTATAACTTACATTAGTGTAACACTGTCCAGCTATTGGTTTTCTGTAACTGCAAGGAAGAGTGGTTATTGTATGTTTATACTTTCCAAATTTAAAGGCTCAAGCCCTGGCTGGTGTGGTTCAGTTGGTTGGACGTTGTCCTGGGCACCAAAGAGTTGCCGGTTCGATTCCTGGTCAGGGCACAAGCCCAGATTTCAGGCTCAATCCCCGGTAGGGAGCGGGCAGGAGGCGGCGAATCAGTGTTTTGCTTTCGTATGGTTTCTCTTTCCCCTTCCCTTCCTCTATAAAAATCAATTAAAAACCAATCTTAAAAAAAAAATTAAAGACTCAAAAATATGAAGATTCTGTAGCAAGTCACTGGTAGAGTTAAAATAGGAACCTGGACAATTAGGTCTTTTTTTTTCTTTTCTTTTTTAAGGTAACAAGTGTATTCTTTGCCTCCAACCACTTTTACTAGTACAGTCCCTTCTAATGTTGATTCTGCCCCTACCGCTCCAAGGATGGCTGCTGGCTTTCTCACCGGGACATCCAATCCCTCATTTTACTCCCCCAGCCTCTTAGCAGCGCTTGTACCACTGACAGTTTCTTTCTTGAAATATTCTTGACTGATAGCATTGCAGTTTCCAGGTTTTCCTACCTCAGATGCCAGTGGCCCAGGGAGGATTCCTCTCCAGCCCTCTTCTCCGAC